AATAGCCAAGGCTACTCTGGTAGATGGGCGATGGGCTGAGAGAGCTCTGACAGAAACCACTCTTTTTCAAGAACAGGTCTTATCAGAACTATGGCTTGCCCAAGGTCATCCAGCCAGGTGCAAGTGGAGGAGTGGGGAATCAAACCCGGTTCTCCCAGATTAGAGTCAGCGCATTTAACCACAACACCAAACTGGCTCTCAGTTGTGCAGTGTGCCTGTGTCTGCTTGCATGCCTGAAAGTCATAGTGACTTCTGGAGACCACGAGTGGGGTTTCGATGTTTCAGAGAAGTGGCTTGATTGCCTGCCTGCAAGCCCTGGTATTCCTTGGAGGTTGCCCGTCCAAGTATTTGCCAGGATCAGCCATACTTAGTCTTCGAGATCTGATGAGATCAGGCTTGCCTTGGCTGTCCGGGTCAGGGCCAGTTTGCATGAAATGTTTTGCTACCTTTCTGAATATCCCGAGGGGATCTGCCCACTATCCCCCAGGAGGGAGACTCATGGCAGAGAGACAGTGCAGTGCAGAGGGGGTAGTTTAGTCTGACTTAGATTTGGGAGATTCAGATTCATATCCCGACTTGTGCTGGGAAGCTCACTCTTGGTGACTTTAAGCCAGACACAAACACTCAGCCTAAACCACCTTCACAGAGTTGTTGTAAAGATTAAAAAAAAAAAGGGGGGGGGAGAACTATTTCTGACCCTTCTTTTATTTGTTTGATTCATTTATACTAGGGATGGGTAAGGTAAAGGTAAAGGTTCCCTTGCTCGAAAGCCAGTCGAATCCGACTCTAGGGTTGCGGTGCTCATCTCCGTTTCAAAGCCGAAGAGCCAGCGCTGTCCGAAGACGTTTCCGTGGTAATGTGGCCGGCATGACTAAACACCAAGGAGCACGGAACGCTGTCACCTTCCCACCGAAGTGGTACCTATTTATCTACTTGCAATTTCTTGCTTTCGAACTGCTAGGTTGGCAGGAGCTGGAACCAGAGACGGGAGCTCACTCCATCATGCGGCACACTCGGGTCTCGAACTGCTGAACTACTGACCTTCCACAGCCTGCAGTTCAGCGTCTTAACCACTTGAGCCACCGAACCGGGAATATGCCATTCATGTCCGAACTACAAAACAGAACCGATTCATGGCCCCACAAACCTCTTTGAAAGGGACCGCAGTCCCTTGAAACGGGGTTTGCAGAAAGCCAAAAAAAAACCCCAGCTAAGTGACGGCTTTAAAGGCACTGCACAAGACATCCCGAAAAAAGCTGCCTCCTCGCTGCTCATCTGTTTTTCGGGCTGTCTTGTGAAGTCCCTTTAAAGATTAAAGACAGCCCAAAACAACTGGGCGGCAGGAGCACCTCTTCCTGCCGCTCAACTTTTTTTGCAACTTTTGGGGGAATAGAAAGCAACGGTTTAAACTTGCTTTCTGCTCTATCCACAAACTGCCTTAAAGTTTGTGGAAGTTCATGACAGTAGACCCAGCACACACTTCCATTTGCCAACCATGAACACGGTAAAATCCATGACAAACTTTGCTTTGTGGTTTGGTTCGTGCCCATCCCTAACACACCCCAGTGGGGACCCAAAGTGGTTTACATCATTCTCCTCTCCTCCATTTTATCCGCACAATAACCCTGTGAGATATGTTGGCTGAGACAGCGTAATTGGCCCAAGGTCCCTGTTGGGGAAATTAGGAGCGCAGGAACCTTTTCATGGACTCCCGTCCCCGCTTTGTTCAATGGGGAGGGAGAGAAGCTGGCAGGGATCCCAATTGCACCGAGAGAGAGAGAAAGAGAGGGAGAGGGACGGTCATTCTAAACCAAAATTAAATTCATTCCATTACGCTCTCTTAAGTCAGAAAACACTTTGTAGCATTTCAATATTCAACAGAGAATATTCAACAGAGAATATTTCAGTACATAAAATAGTGCACTTGTATAAAACTCAGAACATTCTGGACAAGCCACCAAAGTCTCTCATGGAGCTACAGATAGCCAACCCCTTAATCCAGGGGTATATACCTTTCTTGGAACCTATAACTGCTGACGTACCTATCGTGTAGGACTATTGTGAATGTGATGTAGGCCAAACTAGAACTCAACTGACCAGAACCCAAATCTCCCCCCCCCCTTCTCTCCATGTCTGGGGTCAGGAAGCTCTCAGAAAGTCCAGGAGGGTCAGGGAAGCTGGTTTCAGATACCCTCTCCACTTTGATTCTGATGGTGACACCGCTCATTTCTGGAATGTATAAACATCTTCTAAGGCAAAAATCATGTACAGGGTTATCAGCAGGGCCACAGCCAGATTTTAAAAAAAACCACAAAAACTTCGAGGCGCATTTAAATAAGTCAGGGCGCACGGTGTCAGGAGCAACAAGAGAGTAAAAAGTTTTTAAAAGTGATGGGGGGGGGGGCTGGGGTTGGAAGCAGACAGGCCCTGTGGCACGTCCCCCCTGCAGCCAACCAGAGGTACACTGCCGGCAGGCAGGGTCGGTCGACTATTCGGCTCCGCGTGGCCACGGCACACGTACAAAATTAAATAAAACAAACCAGCTGGATGGAAAGTCGGGAGGCCTGGGCGGTAAGTTGGGGGCCCCAGCCCCGAGGTGCCCCACTGTAGCTACGGGCCGGGTTATCAGTACCAGAAGGCCACAGCCACCAGCAGAGTTCTGTAGTCTCCTGGGACACTGAACCAAAGATTCAACTACAGAGGACAGTTGCTACAGAAATATAACATAGTTTAACAGAGGACAGAGGCTCAAACCAGGCCCTAACTCTGCAACAGTCCCCAGCAAGCTTCCAAGGCAGAGCGGGGATTCAAACCTGGGTCTCCCAGGTTAGAGTCCAAACACTCTAACCCCTACACCACCCTGGCTCTCACCCTTTTTTGGAGAAAGGGTGGGATAGAAATGTGAATGACGAGCACACAGCAGGGAGCTGCTGTCATTCGGTCAGTGTTACAAACTCTCTCTGATTGGCTGCCCGTAACCGTTGTAGTGCTGGATGCCGGAATGGCTCAAGCTTCTGTGTAGCCACTGGGACCTGGAGCCAGGCAGTTCACAAGTCAGAGTGTTGCACATACACGCGCCACCACAGGGGAGAAAAACATTTAGACCGAAGTGCTCCACAGGTGGCCTGGGCAGCACTGAAACTGGGATCAGTGGCTCAGGAATGCATCTGTTTTAAGAAAAGCAAAAACACGCATCCCTTACAGCAGAACCGCAGAAATGATTCAATAACTATATAACCCTTTTGGCGTGGCTGGTCACTGTATTCTTGGACTCCCATGATCAAGAGTATGTCTGTGACAGCAGAGGCTGCTGCTGATGATGCAAGACCGCACCTCATCAAAACAATGCCGTCTGCAAGGTAAAGTATAGGATGGAGCCAATTTGGCTGGGTCCTCAGTGTCAGCTGATGCTGCACAGGCACAGGAGGAAACAGGGGCACATGGTAACCTCAGGAGGAATGGTGTGAAACAGAGAAAACCACAAACATGCTGCTTAGCTCTAACACTGATGCACAAAACAATCAAACCAGTGACTATACCACGACAAGAACTTGAGGGCATCCAATGAAACTGATGGGCAGTAGGATCGGGGCGGACAAAAGGAAATACTGCTTTATGCAGAGGATGATTACAATGTGGAATTAGCTGCCAGAGGATGTAATGATGGCCACAGGAATAAACAGCTTTAAAAGGGGATTAGGTAGATTCATGGAGGATAAGTCTATCAATGGCTACCAACCACGGTGACTAAGAGGAACTTCCACATTCGGAGGTACTAATTCTCTGAATCCCAGAGCCAGGAGGCAAAATCAGGGGAAGGCCTCAGCCCCTATGCCCTGTTGTTGGCCCTCCAGAGGAACGGGTTGGCCACTGTGAGAAATAGGATGCTGGACTAGATGGACCATTAGTCTGATCCAGCAGGGTTCTCCTTATGTTCTTATGTTCACTCCCATTTCAAATCTAGCTGAAAATCTCCCATTTCAAATCTAGCTGAAAATCTCGGGAAAAAGTGCCACGGGATACAGGCTCTACACCTAAGAGATTCTGAGCTTTACTCTTGTTTGCATAATTTAACACATTTCAGGGGTTTAAAAATAACACTGATTACATAGCATCATAGAACACTTGTTCTGAAACAGATCATAAAAATGATTGCTCCTAACCCTAACTAGTAAAGACAACGTTGCTCTTTCTGCGACTATACAAATCCAGGAGCACAAAGAACCCGAAAGGGTTGCCTAGAACTTTCTTTGAAAATTAACAATGCATTTAAAGCAGAAAGAACCCAAAACTTTCTTTGAAAATTAACAATGCATTTAATACAAAATAGTTGTCCTGAAATGTACAATTAACAAATATGGCTTTAATTCCAGGTTTTTACTAAAAAATACTTTAAAGCTTCAGTATTGCATTGGACGGCTCTAGAATTAAGATGGTCCCTAAAGATAGCAAGATTTCCCAAATTCCTTTCAATTTTCCTTCTTGGTAGCGTTGATGCTTGATATTTCATCTTTCTTGAAGACACGGCATCTTCACTTTTGCCCCTTCGGTAGAGTTATTTTCCCCCTCTAATAACACTGTGGGGTCTCGGGAGGTAGAACGGTTTCCTTCATTTTGTTCCTTCAAACTGAGCAGCACAGGAAGTCATCCCGATTCTTCCACAACAGGATACGGTTCCAGAGCTTTCTCTGCATTCTTCCAGTTATGGAAGTTCTCTTGATACCATTCAACTAGCATGAGAAAAGGAAAGGGTTGTTTAAATATTAGGAAGTTAACAGCATATACACTCTAACAGAACAGCTCTACACGGTTTCACCTATCCCAGCAAATTCAGTGGGCGTTTCTGTTATGTATGCATGTGCAGGATTCAGCCCCAAAGCTATTTCTGAGGCTCACAATTGTGACGAACTGGAGGAAAAACTTCAAGCCAGGAAATCAGCCAGTCTTAAGGATTTGGAAACAGAAAGGCATGGAGTTTAAGATGCTTAGAATTCAACTATTATTGGAAGGGGGACAACACTGACTATTTAGGATTCGTCAGACCAGAGCCCTTGATTATTCCCTGCTAACCCAAAGGTGGAAAGGAGGTCTAGTGTACCACCTGGCACATATGAAACCGTTCAATGATGCTAACTGCTTATGGCGCTGGGCACCCTTGTGACAATCGGGTGCCACAAAACAAATGTTAATCTGAAATCTAAATGCTATATTGACCATTTCCAAACCAGCCTATGAACTTCATGGAGCATTTAAAGTTAACACCGGAAACTGCCCAAACAGAATTACAGACGCACCAGCCGCAACTAGTGAACACACACAAAAAGTTAGCCAGCTACCCTCTGCAGACCAGACCCAATGAAATTACAGGCTTGAGAGACAGATCAAGATGGGCAGCCGTGTTAGTCTGTCTGCAGCAGGAGAAAAGAGCTCATTCCCTACCACAAATTTTGTTAGTCCTTAAGGTACCACTTCAGTGGGAAGGTAACAGCGTTCCGTGCGCCTTGGTGTTTAGTCATGCCGGCCACATGACCACGGAAATGTCTTCGGACAGTGCTGGCTCTTTGGCTTTGAAACGGAGATGAGCACCGCAACCCTAGAATCGGATTTGACTGGCTTTCGAGCAAGGGAACCTTTACCTTTAAGCTGCTACTGGATTCTCGCTTTTTTCTAGGATTAGGAGAGGTTACATTGTTAGGAACAGCTGTTCTTTTTCTCTCTATGAGATTTCTTCTTTTTTTAAAAAAATTATATACTTTATTAAAATATAAGACTATAGATTAACAGATAAGCAACACTAACATAGATATATATATATAGCTTGATCAGAGATTACAATATGTTAAATCTTATAAATATACAATGGATATTCTTTAGGGGAAGGACACAATATTAATAGAAGACGTACAATTCCAATGTTGTTCTATATCATATATAAAACATATATGATACACAAAAACAAGGACATTAGGAGAAGGAGGAAGCAGACGGAGAAAAGCGGTGGTAGCTATTCTAAAATGACAAGATATAATCAGATAAGTCAGTCCAGAAATTGCTTGATAATGGGTAACATTTCTCTATTAAATCTGTTTGAGCTGTGCTATTTCTGTGGCTAAGTATGTCAGTCGAAATCTTATCTAACGTGCAATACTCCCAAAAGTTTGGTATGCCATTGTTTTATGCTAGGGAGGGATTCTTTTTTTCCAATTTGAAGCTACAGGTGTCAGCATTGTTTTTATTTTATTTTACCCCGCCCTCCCCACGAACGGGCTCAGGGCGGCTCACAAATGTGTACAGTATACAAAAAATACAAAATTGTCGAGGTCTCTAGGAGCTTCAGGAGTTGTTTTACTCTCCCACAGATTGAGAAGGACTGCTTCTGAGGTTTCTGGGATATCCTATCCCATGTATTCTTTGATTTGGTCTAATATCTGGGTCCAAGAAACAGCTGTTTGTAACACAGACAATCCAGATTCTCACATTCAACTAGCTCCCCCCCCCCAGCACACGCCACCTAATACCTTCCATCTCATTAAGCGTCACATTTATATTTGGATGTAATTGGGGGGGGGGGTATGTTTTGTGTTGCTTCCTCTACAATCTGCAGCTGCCCACTCCTATGAACAGCATCGTTCAAGCTCCCTCTCCAAAAGAACCCCTCCGACCAATGCATCGCCGGTTATCACCTACTTGTTTTCTTTATTCCTTCATTCCACGGCACTTTAGGTCTCCAGCCCAAGCCGTGCATTTTCCCAGAGTTCATCGGATATCCCAAGTCATTTGTAGGTCTTCAAAAGGTAGCGTGAGAAAAAAAGACGACCGGGGTTTAAATTGGTAACCCACCTCAGGTAATTCGTGAGAGATTCGGAAAGGCTTCCGAAACGTGCATACGAGTCCGGCGCTTCCAGGACCCCCTGGCTCTGCACTAGCCCTTGTGCCGATACCACTCCATCCCCCAGACCCCTATATCAAAGGTGCGAAAACAGAGTTTACGTCACAAACGCGACTGGCGCGTACAAGCTGCTAAAAGGTCTCGAGTCGCAGACGAGATGCCTACAGCTCTTGAACCACACGAGGACAATGGGAGTTAGTCACCATGCGTGACTTAGCACCCTGAGTGCGTATCAGCATTGCAGCATTTGGCCAGAAATGTATACAGGCCAAACTACAAGTGAGGGTGCCCTCGGGCCCACCACGTGGCTGCTGACGCCATTTGAAGAGTATCTGTCGTTCTCTAAAAATTGCTATGAAGAAGAAGAGATTGGATTTATACCCCGCCCTTCACTACCCAAGGGAGTCTCAGAGCGGTTTACAAACTCCTTCCCCCCCCCACAACAGACACCCTGTGAGATAGGTGGGGCTGAGAGACCTCTGACAGAAACTGCTCTTTTTCAAGGACAGCTGTGCCTGAACTATGGCTTGCCCAAGGTCATCTAGCAGGTGCAAGTGGAGGAGTGGGGAATCAAACCCGGTTCTCCCAGATTAGAGTCCGCGCACTTAACCACGACACCAAACTGGCTCTACACCAAACAAGCCCCAACTGGCGCACAGATTTGAGGGGGGGGGCTCTTTTGGCAACTGAAAAGGCATGGAGGGGGAGCTCCTGGGGCTGCAATGCCGTATGCTGTGTTCTGGATCAGGGCCTTGTGGCCATTTCTAAACAACTGCAGACGCTTCTAAAAGGGATGGATCCGTGGCTGCGGTCACCAGTAGTTCGGCTTGTAATTAGCACGGCACTTTAGTGGCCGTGTAGGCAAAGTCAAAACTCTGTTCAAAAAGTAACCAAGTTTTAATGTCGTCCGTGCCCCAAGGGTGTCAGGGCAGCATCCACAGGGATCACGTGAGGATCAGTGCAATCGTACGCAGAATTATTCCAGTCCAAACCCAGACGGGAGTTAACTCTGCAGAGCATCGCAGTAGAACGACGCTTGAGTCCAGCGGCACCTTTAAGACCAACAACGTTTAATTCTGGGTATACGCTTTGGTGTGCATGCCACGCTTTCTCAGATATTCATCCAAGTATTGCAGTGTACATGCTAACAGCTCTGTGAGGTAGAAGCACAGATAATGAATGCTGAAGGATGATTCAAACCCCCATCTTTTTGATCCAGGCTCAAGATCCAAGGCCTTCCTTAACTCATCATCAGGGAAACCCCTTGCCACAGCCCAACATTCTTAGCACGCACACAGGCAGGATCGTTACAGAAAGGGCGGGGCGGGCGGAGAGACACAAGAACAATCCAGCCTCTGTAACATTTCAGTCGCTATTACGTGCTATTTGATTGCAGTGTTTAACTGGGTTGCTTTCCGGGCTCAGTAGTTTCTGCATTCTTCTGGAAAAGGAAAACCTTGTTCGACCACAGAAACGCCTCGAGGTACCTTCTAGCAGTTGAGGTCTCAAGGGAAAACGTTTGATGGAAGGCAAATCACGAGAACTCGTTCGGAACAGTACAGATGCACGTGGCCAGTGGGCGGCCGAAGGCCCACATAGTACTCTGGAGCCATCTGTGTTAAGTGTGCTAAGTTAAGTGGTGCTTGACGTTTTCATGGTTGTCCTCTCTGAGTTCCACCACCAGACTTTTGCCAGCACCTGTATAATCCATTACCCACCCACAACTCCTTTTCTTATACCTCAATTCTCCCCAGCCTATATAGATTACTCTCAACCTACACAGATCACCCTTTTTGCACTTTTCGGGGACACTTCAGTTCTGTCTTCTGACTCCACACAGACCCTCCTAGCTTCACTACAGGTGAGCCGCTCTTCATAAACATTACTAAAACCAGTCATATGAAAAAGCATGTCGGTAATTTACTGTTTTACTTACTGCTAGTATGTTCGCTCAAGTTCAATGACTATAACTCACTGATTGTAAATATTTCCTAGTTGTGTTGTAAACCTTATAAAATATTAACAAACGTTTTCATTATTATTATTATTTTTAAAAGCATCCATACCCAGAGGTTTTGAGAGGTAATGCTCAGTGTTTTCCACTGCTTTCAGAATGGATTGCCACTGGTACACTCATGAAGCAGAGATACAAGAGGAATATAAAAGTACTAAATACAGCAGAGAGATCAGATGGCAGCAGCCAAACTGAAGTCACATCTCTAATCCAGGGGCACACGGGAATATTTTCTACAACTACAAGGATGAAGACAAAACACCAACAAAAATATTCCTAGTACTTGTGAACGCCCTACCTGTCTTTAACATAATCCATCCAATGTTCTGTCTCAGACTCTGAGCTGGTATTCTTTATCTGTCAATCAGAAAAAGAACCATTTTAATGCAAGGCATGCATTTCTAACACATCCTGGGTCCTCACGTTTCTAATTTACAACCGTGAAGTGCAGTTAAATGGGTTTACATGGGCTTACTTTATTTATTCAGCTTATAAACCGACCGCCCCCCCCCCAGAGCGCTCAGGGCAGCGTACAACGTTTCGATAAATACATATATCAATAGATAATAGTTCAATTCAGTTTAAAACAGTTAAAACGACCACAATCACAACTAATTCGGGGGGCGCTGGAGACCAATTTATGACCTCCCCTGTGAAGGGGGAGGGGAGGAGGCCAGGCTCGACGACACACCGCTGCTGCCCTCAACCCCAGGCCCCGTGGAACTGCACGAAGTCCCACAGGGCACGCTAGGCCGAGAGCTCCACCTGGCTCTGACTGAGGGCAGCCGGGGATCACCAGGAGGTTTTCCTCCCCAGAGCATAATGCTCTTTGGGGGGCACACCAGGAGCAGCAGTTCCTGTCGGTACGTTGGTCCCAGACCGTTTAGGGTTCAAAACCTTGAACCTGATCCAGTCTCCAACCTGGAGCCAGTGCAGCTGTTGAAGCACTGGCTGAATGTGCGCTGTCAATGGGTTAGGGTTAGGGTATAGGAGCTCATCTGCATATGCCACACCCCCTGACATCACCAGAAGTGTGTCAGAAGGCCACACCCACCGCTCAGGCTCCGCTGGACTGTTTTGGATTGCTAGCTATTGGGGCGGGGGGGAACGTGCAGATCCGCCCTCACAGAGGAGGGAGAGCTTGTACCTTAATAAAACCTGGTCTTAAAGGTGCCACTGGACTGTTTTGGACCGGCTCTGCAACTTACCTGGCTGCTTTTTGCTCTGACTGAGGGCTGCTGGGAGCAGGAGGTGGGGCTTGTTGCAAGTGCCCGCCCCCTGGGCTCTTTACTGCCGGAGCTCTGCTCCTGTGCGCTCCTGCAGGAAATGACCCCTGCTGATGACAACCCAGCCCGGAGCTCCATGCCAGCTGGGCCGGGGGGGGGGGAGGGTTGCATATAGATGTTAAATACATTGAAGAGAGGATTGCCCCTTGAGGGATCCCGCACACCAAAGGGTGACGAGGTGACACCCACTCTTCTAGTGCCACCTTCTGTCCCCGACCCTGGAGGAATGAAGTAAGCCACTGCAAGGCCACCCCATGTTGCTCCTATGGGTGGGTCAACAGGTCATAGTCAACCATGTTGAGCCCTGCTGTCAGGTCTCGCGGTAACAACAGTGCCAGCTGCCTCTGGAGATTGTCTGTAAGGGCAACCAGTGCCGTTTCCATCCCATGGCCAGGGCAGAAACCAGACAGGAATGAGTCTAGGGCTGACACATTCTCCAGGAAACTCTGTAACTGTTCCGCCACTGATCTCTCAATTGACAGTGTGTAAACATTCCAGAAGGCAAAAGTCCTGTAAGGCCAAAGTTATGTACAGGGTTATCGGTACCAGAGGGCCACAGCACCAGCAGAGTCCTGAAGCTTCCTGGGAAACAGGACCAAAGATTCAACTATACTTTACTCTAGAAATTAAAGTAACATCAGTTTAACAGAGGACTGAGGCTCTGGTGGAATGAGCTCCCAGAGATCAGGGCCTTGCGGGACCTCCTACAGCTCCGCAGGGCCTGCAAAACGGAGCTCTTCCGCCAGGTTTTTGGAGCCGCTGCCACCTGTAACAACTAGGAAGAGAAGCCCCGTTGCCCTGGAACTTATATTAACAACTGTGCCAGCCGCCAGAGCGACACCTGAAAGACACCTACAGAAGATCTGTGCCGGCCATGGGAAGAGAGAGTCGATGGTAGCCATCACGAATTCTACAATAGCAAAACTAGCACTTATGATGGGGTTGTAATCTTTTAAATACCGTTTTAAATGTTTTCTTGTACTATTTAAACGTTTTCTGCTGATTTTATGTAAGCCGCCCTGAGCCAGCCTTGGTCTGGGAGGGCGGGGTACAGATTTGAATAAATAAATAAAATCTAGTCCCTAACTCCACAACACACAGCAATAAACAGCTTTGAAAGGGGATTAGACAGATTCATGGAGGATAAGTCTATCAATTGTTACTAGCCATGGTGACTGAGGGGAACTGCCACATTCGGAGGCACTAATCCTCTGCAACCCAGAGCCAGGAGGCCACATCAGGGGAAGGCCTCGGCCTCCATGCCCTGTTGCTGTCCCTCCAGAGGAACTGGTTGGCCACTGAGTGAGACAGGATGCTGGACTAGATGGACCACTGGTCTGATCCAGCAGGGCTCTTCTTCTGTTCTTATGAAGGCCTCAGCCTCTATGTCCTGTTGTTGTCCCTCCAGAGGAACTGGTTGGCCACTGTGTAAGACACAATGCTGGACTAGATGGACCACTGGTCTGATCCAGCAGGGCTCTTCTTCTGTTCTTATGAAGGCCTCGGCCTCTATGCCCTCTTGCTGGCCATCCAGAGGAACTGGTTGGCCACTGAGTGAGACAGGAGGCTGGACTGGATGGACCACTGGTCTGATCCAGCAGGGCTCTTCTTCTGTTCTTATGAAGGCCTCAGCCTCTATGCCCCGTTGCTGGCCATCCAGAGGAACTGGTTGGCCACTGTGTAAGACACAATGCTGGACTAGATGGACCACTGGTCTGATCCAGCAGGGCTCTTCTTCTGTTCTTAACTATACCCATGGTCCCAATTACCAAAAGCTTTTATTCAAAGAAACATACAACTGGATTTGAATTCTGCTGTGTTAAAGGCATAGAAGTAATTATTTCCTTACTTGGCATGTTTCTTATCTTGCCCTTCCTTCATGGAACTCCTCTGTTTTATTCCTATAACAACCACCCCGTACAGAAGGTTTGGAGATGTGAAGGCCAGGAAATAAACTTTTGCCCGCCTGCCCCAAGGACTTTTTTCTAGGTTTCCCCAATAGAAGAACTGGGAGGTTTTGGAAAACACCGAAAAAACGACAGGATGGCTAGTGGACGGGAACTCATCTTCCTTGGTTTAAATCACTTGACACTGGCTGCTGGTTTGTTTCTGGGCCCAATTCAAGGTGCTGGTGAGGACCTTTAATAGCCTCCATGGTCTAAGACCCTCGGGGCTGAAGGACTGTCTCTTCCTTTATTGTCCCCATTTACCATCTACGGTCCTCGGGCTTCTTCTAAAGGGCTAGGCTTCCACTTAAGGGAGCTCGCCTGGTTTCATACAGCACTCATGCCTTTTCCACGACAGCTCTCACTTCGTGGAACGGGCTCCCTGAGGAGGTGAGGCGCTACAAAGTAGTATCCCTGCCTCTAGACTTTGGCAGAAGGGTGCTGCAAGTCCACTTGATCTGCCGGGCTCGTAATGGGGTTTCGGCTGCAGGCATTTTCTTTAGGAGAGGGGGTTTATTCTCCCACGCGTGGTATGTGTTTGGAATCATAAGCTGCCTTGAGCAGCCGAGAAGAGGAAGAACAGCTTTACATTGGTTATTACATACAAGTCCCACAGCAATTCTTCTGCTTCTGCTACAGCAAGACGTTGGTGCAATCCCCTATACAGGCAGAACCCCTCTCTCTGGGCTTCGGTTCATATTTCTAAAGCAACATTCCACCCCCAGGTTCAGAAAAATCCTCCCGTGACCAGAAGGCGGCTTCTGAATGCAGGAGAACACCTAAGGATCCAACCCTCAGTTCCTTATGTAGTGGTGGCATCCAATGACCAGTCGCCAATTCTGTTTATTACTCACCAGATGGATTAACTCCTTGGCAAGCTGGGTAATAGACAGCTCAAAACTGGTCCCGATGTTATAGATTTCACCAGGCCGCCCTTTCTTCATGACGGTAAGAAATGCTTCTGCGACATCACTGGCATACAGGAAGTTTCTCCTCTGCAGTCCTGAACCGTGAATGCAACTGAAGGAAGGAAGGAAGACGGGATTCATTCATATGATTCAAGAGTAAAAAAACAAACAATCCCCAAGGGAACTATTGTGATATTCTAGTTAGACTTGCAAGGTTACGAACTGCCAAACGAAGCCCACTGCCGGAGAGAGAACCTGTTCATTCTGTGACTTAAAGCGGGCAGGAGCTGGTGTTGCATCAGGAAAAGTGCTGAGATCCAGGTCTGCAGAGCAAATCTCACCGCTGGCATGGATTTGCCAGGTGACCTTGAACAAATGACTCTCTCTCCACTTCAGCCTGCCTCCATCCTCCCCCCCCCCCCCCCCCCCGCCCCCTCCGCGCGGAGCTGCCATACGGAGAGGATACTGCTACAGAGCTGTGACAAAGGCCAAATTCGGAAATCACCCCATCCTCTTTATCTGCAAAGATCAAGCGCATGGGTCGTTTGTCATGTGCAAAGCATGACTGAAGGTTTCCTTGTTTGGGAAGCCGTCAGTCAAAACACACCAATTTGCTGTTTCCTTCCCACACTACTCCGTTGCCTGTGGGCCTGCAAATTTGGATGTTATAGCAAACAGAAGCTTAACTGAAGGTTTCTGAATGCACTCCACAGGGAAGAGGAGGTGGAAACACGCAAACACGGCAAAGCAAACCAAACCAAACCACAACTGTGGGTGCTATCGACCGACTTAGAATTGAGAGGGTGCCTGAATGCGAGCAATGCACTGAAGCACCGTGAACCCCAAAATTGCTATCTAAGTACCGAGTACTTTCTTGCTCTGATGTAGATGCTTTTAACTATGTCACAGGAGGAGAGGTTTGGGGAACGGCAAAGGGAGCAGAATTAGGAGAGGAGGAGGAAGGAGCAGATTGGATTTATACTCATGCCCTTCACTACCCAAAGGGGTCTCAGAGCGGCTGACAAATTCCTTCCCCTTCCCCTCCCCACAACAGACACCCTGTGAGGTGGGTGCGGCTGAGAGAACTCTTGACAGAAACTGCTCTTTTTCAAGAGCAGCTCTTATCAGAACTACGGCTTACCCAAGGCCATCCAGCCAGGTGCAAGTGGAGGAGTGGGGAATCAAACCCGGTTCTCCCAGATCAGAGTCCGCGCACTTAACCACTACACCAAACTGGCTCTCTTAATTAACATGTATCTAGAGGAAGAGTAGTATCCTCACCTGGATGGCCCAGGCTAGCCTGATCGTGTCAGGTCTTGGAGACTAAGCAGGGTTTAGCCTTGGTTAGTATTTGGATGGGAGACCGCCAAGGAAGTCCGGGGCTGCTCTGCAGAGGGCAGCCAGTGGGAAACCAACTCTGAACGTCTCTTGCCTTGAAAACCCTCCAGGGGTCGCCGTAAGCCGGCTGCGACTTTCCACGACCGAAGGAAGCCGTTAACAAATATGGCCTCCATTTTTACTTTGTGCAAGGGCCAACAAATCCAGCCCTCTACAGACATTACATGTATCCCCAACATGTGCAGAGGAGGAATGGGCGCAACCCCACTGGCTCTGCCATCCTACCCATGCATGAACGCTGGCTCGTGGGCGGGGGGGTATCTGGAGGCCTAGGCTCCGTCCCTGTGACAGGGAACACGGCTTTTTCACACATTCCCGAGCCCTACACATGTACATTGCCTAAGCACATAGACTCAGTCGTCACAAGATGGCAATCGTGCATAGGTGGGACGAAAGCGCTCACGCCCACTTCCTCTCCACTCACGTCACGCCACACCTATACAGGGCTTCTGCTGGCCAACAAAGCAAGCTGGAAAACCTTGTAAGGGAGTACAACCCCAAATGTGCATACATATATTCTTAACTTTTCTTCAGTCCATTAAGTATACAAAAATACAATCTTTATCTCAAAAATAACAATGGTTTTCTTTTTATAACAGATGGTGATGGACAAAATTCTCCGGAGTGTGTTCCGTTTCGTGAGAACTTCTTCTTACATCGACAAACAATAAGACGTCTTCATCATTTCATAGACAATCCACAGGGATTCAATAGTTTTCGCAGAAGGCAATTTTCTTTTCTCCACTCTTCAAAGTTACATGCAACAGGCTGAGCAACAGGCGCAGTATTCTTGTTATTATTTTTGACTCTGTATACTGCAACCCCGGATTTGTTATTCAGGGAGTACAACCCCTGCAGTTATCAGAATATTCAGAGTGTACAGTGTGCAGACTGTACAGCAGTTATCAGGACTTCAGTTGGTATCAAACAGATTTTTAGCCATGGTGTTCCAACTACAAACATGCCAGTATTGACTGACTCATCTTGCCAAATAATTTTTTTTTAATGAATATGGTGCTGATACATACCATTTTCTGTTCTGTTGCAAGAGGGAAATAAACTTTGGAATAACCTGAGAAGGAAGTTTAAAAAGAGAGAGAGTTTATTTGATAATTCAGACTGTTCCAGGGAAACACATCGACAATTTCTTTGTTTAAGAAGGTAATGCAGGAAACACACAATGGCTTGAATCCAGAGAAGTTTCAAGCAGAAACATACACAGACTTACTGCGGTTCCACCTGCGCAGGATCCTGTGCAACACCTTATGTTTCCCCCTGTATATAGTATAATGCCCAGAAACTGGTTGCACAAGATCTTGCGCCAGTGGAAACACAAGCGGGAATATAATACCACTTTGATTTCATGCGAGCGGCTACCACAGTCTTTTTCTTACGTCTCCACTTGCACAAGAGCCCTAGCACAAGTAGAAATTTTGTCCTTGACTCAATATATTTAAGATTAATCAGAATATGCCCTAGATAATACCACAAATTATTTTCTGCAATTTTTTTTGTGTGAGAGAGAATTGTGTATGTAAATCTAGCAAGAAAAGAGTCTTCCAGCTTATCTCAGTGAGAGACGAACGGCTGCACACAGAGAGTGCCACTTCAAAAGTTAAAATCCCACTGATCAGTGGCTTGCCACGGAAGGAAGAACGGGGGTGGGATATTGTTGTTTGTGGTCAGTGTGAATGAGACCCACTTTCCAGTATTGCCCAAGTCCACACTAAGAAAGCTAGGAAGAATTCACCACCTCGCTCCGAGCTTCACACACCCCCAAGCGTGGCGACGCGTCTCCTCAGATTTGGAAAGAACACTGAGAACTCAGACATTGTGAAATCAGAAACAAAATTTAACAAGGGTCATACGAAGATCTGTGCTGGAGAGACAGCTACACCCACGGGACGAGACAGCCAGTGTGGTGTAATGGTTAGAAGTGTCAGACTAGGCTCTGGGAGACCCAGGTTCGAATCCTCCCCCCCCCCCATGCCATGGAAGCTCACTGGGTGACCTTGGGCCACTCATACACTCTCAGCCTAACTACCTCGTAGGGTTGGTTTGAGGACAAGATAAGGGTAGGAGGACAGGAGGAGGATGTCAGCTGCTTCGGATCCCCATCGGGGAGAAAACTGGAATATAAATGGAATAGATAACTGTACGGAGTCTTACCGGCACTACCAGGGAGTTCTTTCGTCACCACTTACTTTTTCAGGAAACTGGTGGGGTCCATAAACGTTGCTGCTCCGTGTTATAACGACGGGAAACTTTAAAACAGACAGCAAGAGTATCAGAATAACCAATCAGACTAACCATAACAAGCTTACGGTCTTTCCCTGCACAGTAAGCAGTGCTCTTAATACATCTTGAGAGAGTATCCGCCGCGGTAGGGGCCGTGGCTTAGTGGCAGAGCATCTGATAACCATAACAAGCTTACGGTCTGAATGGACAATACTGACTGAGAGGGACCAAGGGTATAAACCAGTTTCAAGTGTGTCCCCGTATACATTTGGGCAGAAGAATACAGACTTGGGGTTTCAGTTCCATAATACAGTACAATAATGAGCCTGGTTTTCTCAAAAAGTGTAAGAATGGAATAATCCTTACTGCCTAAGGAATTTATTTATCCAGTGATCTGCTCTCTACCTATACTTTTTAGAAGAAGAAGAGACAGGGGTCAATTCGTAGAAAAAGAGCTAGGGGAACTCATTAGCATAACTCATTAGCATATGCTGCACCCCCTGACATCACCGGAAGTGTGTCATAAGGCCACACCCCCTGACATCACCGGAAGTGTGTCATAAGGCCACACACCCCGCCCCCAACGGTCCCGGCCGGCGGGAGTGCAAGGAAGCCCCGTGAAGGCCCTCCCTGGCCCCAGGCAGGCAGGGGTGGGGAGAGGCAGGGAGGAAGCAACTTACCTTCCCTCTTCTCCTGCCTCCTCCTGGCTGAATGAGGGCCGGAAGCGGGGCAGCCGGAAGCAGGGGGCGGGGCTTCATCACCCGGGGGAACTGCGATCCCCTGCAATCCCCCCCGAAATGACCTCTGAGAAGAGATTGGATTTATGCCCCTCCCTTCCGTACTCGAAGGAGTCTCAGAGCGGCTTACAAACTCCTTCCCCGTCCCACATCAGACGACCTGTGAGGTAAGTGAGGCTGAGAGAGCTCTTGACAGAAACTGCTCTTTTTTTCAAGAACAGCTCTTGTCAGAACGATGGCTCGCCCAAGGTCATCCAGCCAGGTGCGAGTGGAGGAGTGGGGAATCAAACCCGGTTCTCCCAGATTAGAGTCCGCGCACTTAACCACTACACCAAACTGGCTCTCACTCTTTTTAGGCACTCTTATCTAGTCTGCGTGCCTGAAAAGTGTAATTTGTCTGCACCTGTGTTTCACTGGTAAGAACTGCCTGCTTCCAACATGGAGCAACAGAAAGGCGGCAGTGGAAGCCGGGGCCACGGTCACCTCCCTTGAAGACCACGTGGCTGTTCCCCATGGAACCAGGGATGTTACGAAGGCATGGCCGGAGCTCATCACCAGGACACTGTTTGCAGCGCAGCAGCTCAAGAAATCCACAAGATGGCAGCTTATCTCCACCAACCCCACAGAGAAGCTGCATCCCGTTAGAGTTCTATTTGTCACTGGAAATATTAATTTGATTAAAATATTTATACCCTGCCTGTACATTAAAGCTGGCTGGGGCAGCACACTGCCTTTCCTCTTGGCTCACGCAGCTTACAAGTAGTAGTTAAAACCAAATACAATGGAGGGGGGGAGGACCCAAATATGTCTTTCCCCCACTAAAAGATGCCTGCTGCTCATACCCCACCAAAAGCCCTGGCAAACCGAGAAGCCACATGGCGCCTCCTGAAGATCTTCAACCAGTTGGGGAGCTCATAAATGTGCAAGACCACAGAGAAATGATACTGTCAGATTTAATACGCAGGAAAACGGCCATTTATCTGTAACTTGGTGATATCAACCTTCTGCAAGTCCATCAAAAAGTTAAGGTATTTAAATATATTTCACCGCTTTACCAGCTGTTTTGAGCCATACTTAGCTGGGTACCTAGTCCTATTGGGAATATTTTCAAGAATCGTAACTTGGTGATATCAACCTTCTGCAAGTCCATCAAAAAGTTAAGGTATTTAAATATATTTCACCGCTTTACCAGCTGTTTTGAGCCATACTTAGCTGGGTACCTAGTCCTATTGGGAATATTTTCAAGAAGACAAAAATGTGTGAGCCGGAGGCTAAAAAACTGTGAGCTAGCTCACACTAACTCAGCTTAGAGGGGAAACTGATCTGAACACCAACAAGCAGCTGGAAGTTCAAGGCTTGTTTCCTCTTAAGGTAAAAGGTAAAGGTTCTCTTGCTCGAAAGCCAGTCGAATCCGACTCTAGGGTTGCGGTGCTCATCTCCGTTTCAAAGCCGAAGAGCCAGCGCTGTCCGAAGATGTTTCCGTGGTCATGTGGCCGGCATGACTAAACGCCAAGGCGCACGGAACGCTGTTACCTTCCCACTGAAGTGGTACCTATTTATCTACCTGCAATTTCTTGCTTTCGAACTGCTAGGTTGGCAGGAGCTGGAGCCAGAGACGGGAGCTCACTCCGTCATGCGGCAACCCGGGTCTCGAACTGCTGAACTACTGACCTTCCACAGCCTGCAGTTCAGCGTCTTAACCACTTGAGCCACCGCAGCTCCTGTTACCTGTTTACTGTTTCCTCTTACCTGGTATCTTTCCCAGTAAGACTGGACAAAGCGTTCAGCTGCTGCCTTCGATGTTGCATAAGGGTTTGTGGGCTGTTTGGGCGATGACTCGTCAAATTCCTAGAACAACAAATTTCACTATACTTTACTCTTCTTTTTTTCCTAGAGTTCTGAAACCATCCTAGGTTTGTCTGCAAATAATAAGACTACAAACACGAGACAGGGGATGTGGTCATTTAACTACTGAAAGTGCGTCATATTTGATGACTGCCGACAGTTACGTCCTGAGGCCAGCCCAGCCACATCAGAACTGGAAAGCGAAGCAGGATTGGCCCTGGTTAGTGTTTGGATGGGAGACCACCAAGGAACGTCAGGATTGCTACGCAGAGGCAGGCAATGGCCACTCAAGACTTTCTTGCCTTGAAAACCCTATGGGGGTCACTATAAGTCATTTGCGACTCAATGGTGTTTTCCACTACCAACCGTACTAGCCAATCCACTGATGATCTCCAGGAAATACTGAAGTACGTTTCACATAGAAGCGTTTCTTTGCCTACTCTGCCTGAACAATTTTTTCCTACACCCTCTCAATTTAACAAGTTCTTATCCTTTGCTCAGGAGCTGGACAGAAAATAGTTTTTCTGTATACTCAGCAAGACAAATGCGCTATTATATTGAAAACAAATCTAACTGAACAACATTAGTATAACATTTGGAGCTCCTACTCAAACAAATCAAAAGTATTCAATATAAGATTACAATTTTTTAAAATGATTACCAGGTGGTACCTCTCCCCAGACAGATTGAAACATATGTATCCTCAAAGTAACCCAAATTGTTGGAAAGGATGCGGATCCAAAAGTGACTTATTTCACTGCTGGTGGACCTGTTCAGAAATTAAAAACTTCTGGTCCCAAGTGTTGAAAGAAATAAAGAAGATCACAAGAGAAGACAAAACTAATAGGTAACATTTTCTTTAACTACCCTCATCATATATTCAACTTTATAGGTAACAATTTCTTTAACTACTATCATCATCTATTCAACTATTTCCAAGTTTTTCTATTTCTTAATAATTATCAAAACAAAATAGATTATTCTTAACATCCCAATGTTTTTCTAAGTATTCTTTAAAGTCCATCCAATCTGCAAAAAATTCTTCTTCTTCTTTATTGTTGAGTTTTCTTGTCAATTTGTCCATTTCTACCATAAACAGCAACTTTTTTATCCATTCCCAAATCTCAGGTGTTCGTTCTCGTTTCCAACACTGAGCATGAGTCATTCTAACTGTTTTGATCAAATACCATATCATTGTTCTCTTTGTTATATTCACTTCTTCCATTTTAAGACCCAAAAGTAATATTTCTGGTTCTTTTTTAAAGGTACATTTCAAAAAATTTTGCATCTCATTATGGACCTCCGTCCAAAAATTCACTGCTTTATCACAAGTCCACCACATATGGTAAAAAGAACCTTCTTTTTTTTTACATTTCCAACACTTATTAGACATATTATCACTCATATTTGCAATCTGATTGGCTGCACAGATCTTTTTTTTTTTTAAATGTTGCTTTGGCAGCATCTGCCACCAAAGCACAAGGATCTGCACTGCATTACTGAGGTTTAGGGGTGGCAATCATTTTGAGTCTGGCCCCGCCTCCTGCGACAGCCATTTTGTAGCAGCCATTTTGCTGCTGTGCCTACCATGTTGTGTCAGAATTCCAAATGTGCCCACAGGCACAAAAAGGTTGGGGACCTCTGATATTGACAGAGTCTTGGGAAGATACCAAAGTACTGGGAATGTTCTGTGCCTTTTAAAGCTAATGGGAACAAAGTCTGACTCTGGCCACATTTTGTACCACCACATTCCTTCAGTGTAGTATTACCTTAGTTCTTCCAGTGCGTATATACATGAAAGTTTATACCCAGAATAAAACTTTGCTGGTCTTAAAGGTGCCACTGGATTCAAACTTTGTTACTTTCCTTCTTCTAGTATCTCCTAACGGTCCAACACCCCACCCCTTGAAGACAAAATTCTTAGAAGAGTAGGTTTTTACACCCTGATTTTCTCTGCCCTAAGGAGTCCCAAGGGGGCTTACAATCGCCTTTCCTTCCCCTCCCCACAACAGGCATTTTGTGAGGTAAGTGGGCCTGAGAAAGTTCCGAGAGAACAGAGACTGGCTCAAGGTCCCCCAGCAGCCTTCAAGGGGAGGAGTGGGGAATCAAACCCGGTTCTCCAGATTAGAGTCCACCACTCTTAACCACTACACCACGCCGGGTCTTACCATGCTTCAGAAAAGAGATATCCATTTTTATAAGCTGTGCCACTGAAAAATCAAAAAGTAACCAGCTTCTATTCACTTATAGTTATCGTAAAACAGTTAAATCTTGAAGGCAGCCAAGAGACATAAAAAGCCTCCTATAATAACTCAAGCTCACCTTATCGCAGCTTCCACCGTAAACTTCATCCGTGCTGACATATACAAACTTCTCCACATTGGCCTCGTAAGCCGCCCCAACCAGAACACAAGTTCCATAAACGTTCACATAGCGAAATTCAAGTTTGTGCCAGAACGAAAGATCTAAAGTTCAGGAATAGAATCCAAAGAGGAGACAAACTTTCAGCCCAGGCACTGAAATGAATCAAGAACCATCAGCCACAGTTCAGCAGAGGCCCCATGCTCACTGGGGGGCTTCGTAGAAAACAGAAACAACTCCCCCCCAATTATACTATCTACTCCACCCACAAACCACTGCTTCAGAAATGGTTTCTGAAACTCCAAGTTTAAAAAGTAGCTTGCTGCAGTGTGGGCACCAAGGGAAGCAGTTTCTGCTCCAGTACCAAAACCATCAGAAGGTCCACTGCATTCACAGAACCGAGCTGCACAGTTTTTCTAGATCGCAGCCCACAATACCAAGTAAACATGTTATGAAACCATTTCATCGCCATTGCATTTTAGATTAATTTACCACAGGTCATAAGGTAACCTCACAGCAGCCCTGAAACGGGGAAAGTGTTTGGCATTTAGAACTGAACCAAGCCAAAAGATAGCAAATATAAGCAGTAATATGTCAAACAAATGTTGGAAATGTTAGAAAATAGAGGGCTCTTTTTACCATATGTGGTGGACATGTGAAAAGGCAAAAAACTTTTGGGCTGATGTCCATACAGAGATGGAGAACATTATGAAATGTAAATTTAAGAAAGAACCTGAAATACTACTTCTGGGACTTAAAATGGAAGAAGTCAACATTGCAAAACAGACTTTGATGTGGTATATGATTACAACTACTAGAATGACTTATGCTCAATGGTGGAAATAGGAAAGAACTCCCAAAATTTGGGAGTGGATAAAAAAGTTACTTTTTATAGTAGAAATGGATAAAATGACAAGAAAGCTTAAGAATTTGGAAGCAGAATAATTTTTTGCAGACTGGAAAGACTTCAAAGATTATTTAGAGAAATATTGGGATGTAAAAAACACCTTATTTTGCTTTGGTAACTACTGAAAAAAAGAATGATATTTAGAATAAGTTTAAATGTATAAGAACAATAGTTAAAGATATGTTACCTGTAGAATTTGGTCAACGGGTAAGGGGAAAAGAGGGGACTACAAGATTTGGGCTGGAGGTTGGAGCACTGTGGGAAGTCAGAAGGGGTGGGTAATTAGGAGAAAAGGATATGTGACAGTTGGTAAAGTGATGTATGTTTGACTTATTAATATATCCTAATAAAATTGTTTTAAAAAAAGAACTGAACCAAGCTGAGATGGGGGTAATGATAACCATGAGACTCCGATCTCCTACAAGAGATTGATTTACTGTATGTGTGACAGACGTCAGGCTTTTCCACATTCTCATTTCCTCGCTTGTGTGTTCCTGTTGTGTGGGGGGGGGGTCTGTTCCACACATTTTGCTCCCTTTAGTGGTCAATCTGATAAAAAACCTGCAGGGAGATATGCCAGACATAACACAACGTAATAGCAAATCAACCACTAGAGGGAGCAAAACATGTGAGGAACGGGGTGGGGGGGACCCCAAAACATCCAGAACACACAAGCAAGAAAAATGAGAATCTGGGAAAGAAAGCCTGCAGTCTCCATTTCCACGCAGGTGAAAAGCTTAGCAGTATTCCTAGACACTACCATGTGGTTTGTTGGGATGGGTGCATTTTTGTTCAGAGGCTCTCCTCCCTTCCGGACAGGACTGACCCTGCTGCACTGAGCCAGCAGAACTACTGTAATGTGCTCTACACGTGGTTGCCCTTGGAGACTACTTGGAACTTCCACTGGTGCAAAGTACTGTGACACACTTGTTAACAGACATTGAACTCTTTGAACCAATCAAGCCAATTCTTGCCCTGCAATCTAATTCAGAGTGACTCAAGTCTAAGCCCAATGACTTCAATGGGCTACAACTGGAGGATCTCTGCACTCGTTTGCATTGCCAGGCAGTTACTCCAGTGGCAAGTTTGCTTCCAAGTTCAATTTAAGTTGCTGCTGTTGATTTTTAAAGCCACTGTGACCTGGAACCCACATGCACAAAGGATCTCCTCTCTTCACTAAGATGAAATTAACAGTATCTCTCAATGTTATATATTGTATGTCTGATTAAAGTTATTCTCTTCCCACCCACAATGAGCAAAAATACTTCAAGAATATTTTATTGCTTATACCACAGGCAGAGGTATAGTTGCCATGCTCACCTACATGGGTCTGTGCTGCAAAATGTAATACTATATCAATTTTCTCAGTCTCAAACAACTTTTTGATAAACTTGGGGTCACAGACATCCCCCTAAAAACCAAACAAAGGAAAAGCATATTAGCAGCCAATAACAGCTTTCAGGTAAATGCCCACTCTTCAATTATGTCACATATTCTATTTTTCTAAATTGTAGCAAGTTTGATATATACAGGTATCTGAAGGAAAACAGCTGTTTTGAATGAAACTGTGACACTAACAGAACCAGTGCTCTGTTCTGAAAATTCCAGCTTCTGCAACTACGATACGATAGCCAAAAAAAATCCAGCTTACCTGGATAAATTTGTAGTTTGGTTTCCCAGAAATTGTCTCAAGGTTCTTTAAACTCGCACAGTAGTCCAGCTTAACAAACAAGCAAAGAATACGTATAAATACAAAAGTCTACTTCTTTGTAGAACAAAAACACCAAGGGGACACAAAATTCACACATGAAAGGGGGGAAAGGCACTTTAACAGCATAACATGTTTACAAGTTGCATGCATATAATTTACACCCATTTGTTTCTCTCCAATGTAAATAATGATTTAATGGGGAGATTTTTGTTAAATGCATAAACAATCTACACCAAATCAAGATTGGAAGCCTAGTAAAAGCTTATGACTAATATCTGACAGCTGTTTATGTAAACAAGAAGTCTTACCTTATCCAGATTAATAATCATATAGCTTGGATACTTCTCGACAAGAGAAACCACCACGTGAGATGCACTGCAGGGTTTTTTTTGGGGGGGGGAATACGAGAAACATATTTTAAACACAGAGAACATCAACAAAGTAGCATTTCCAACAACTAATTTCAGAAAGTTTAATCAAGGCCCAACAAATAATCAGTGTTCTAATAGAAAAATATTTTATTACTGTTGGACCAGTGATGCCAAATTTCCATTTAGGTTTCTTGGGTTATCCATTTTTCCCAACACGGCCAGCGCCAACACAGGTGTGCCTGTGCACACATTCCCTCCCTCTTGCAAACACACAGTGCGCTCCTATTTCTCTTATTTTTGCAGTCTCAATCTGGCAGGGCCCACTGGCCTTTGGGGGTCACCAGGCTGTCTCATATGATGCACTTTCCAGTTGGTCAGGCTAGATACAAGCTCAGACCAGGTCACAAGAAAGGCTCACGGTAGGGTTAGCAGCTGGAAAACAACGCAGGAGAATGGCTGAGCAGTCATCAGTGGCCACTGAGAAGCATAACCCTGTATAAGATGCACTTTTGCAAAGAGTATACAAAGCATGGTTGTGACGCTAGGAATAATGATGTCAAAGAAGTGATATCTTTCGAAGAGTACGTCATTCTTTCTCTCTTTTTTGGTATTTGTTGGGGGGGGGAGGGGTGTGCCTGGAAGTCATGGTTGACTTCTGACGACCCCTAGTGGGGCTTGGACATTTCAGGGAGGTGGCTTGCTATTGTCTGCCTCTGCCTCCTGGCCCTAGTATTCCTTGGAGGTCGCCCTTCCAAGGACTTGCCAGGGTCGGCCCTGCTTAGCTCCTGGCTTGCTATTGTCTGCCTCTGCCTCCTGGCCCTGGTATTCCTTGGAGGTCGCCCTTCCAAGGACTTGCCAGGGTTGGCCCTGCTTAGCTCCTGATATCCGATGAGATTGGACTCGCCTGGGTTATCCAGGCCAGGAAAAGAGTAGGTCCTTCTTATTGGGCCAATTTGTTCTGCCTGTTTTAAATCTCTCACCAAATGAAACAAAAGAAGCAGTAGTTCCACTCTCCCAAAGTACAAAACTACAAGATCCACAGCCAGGGCACGCTGAACAAGAGGAATTCTCAGCTACCTCAGCAAAACTGGGGACTCCTCACACATGACAGGTGAACGGGTCTCTGCATTTGTCGTCATTAGATTTAGCACTATGACAATCCAAACCTCTGCTTCCTACATGTCATGGTCCCTTGACGCTATTTTTTAATTCGTGCCACTATGTGGCACAAGACCTCCCCCCCCCCCCCAGACAAACAAGGACTGCAAAACCTGGATCTCAGCAGGCTATTTCCCACAAGCTGAGAAGGCAGCGGAGACCTGAAATGGTAGAATGGGCTGCACCCCAGCAAGTGGAGGGCCGTGTTCTGGAATGCCCTTTGTTCTGGAACAAAACATGCCCAGCAAATAGGGAACTAGCTGAACAAGCAAACGGGATGCTACAGAACCTTTGTCAAATTTGGTTTTCATGTGCTTTTTACAAAAAGAAAAAGTCTGCAGGATCATGCTTTGGAACATCCTCCTATGATAGGAAATAGGAATACCCCACAAACAGAAAACCAGCACCCAAAGAGTGGGTGTTAATGCATTTTAGAATCCTTCTCCTTGTTGCGCTAAGTCCCTTTTTTTTAATGCAAAATCAACATTGGAACCAGGAACCCACCATCATCTGCGGTGTGAAGCAGGGCAGCCTATTCCCCTAGGGTTGCCAACCTCCAGGTGGTGGCTGGAGATCTAGGATCACAACTGATCTCCAGGTGACATCAGTTCCCCCGGAGAAAATGG